AATAATTTGAGACCTCGTCTTCTGAACCATACAATGCTGCCTTACACCTTCAGCCGGTTGTTGCATCCACCGCATCATGCTGAAATATCGAACCAAGGTGTGGAGGTCTCTACGGAGCTGCCCATTTCGTATGCATGTCCATTCGAAGGATTTGTTACTGAGCGTTCCTGCAGCGAAGGAGGCAGATTCAGAGAAGGAGAGAGTTCTCGCAAACGTCCACTTAAGGAATGTTAGTTGCCTATGCACGTCCTTCCAAGTATTTTTCAGCCTACTTGCCGGGTATTGTACCTCATCCTGGAATTGAGGTATGAGGAAACGTTTTCCAGGATTAGATGTGCAGGTATCGGGGAGCATGGCCATTCACTTCTGCCATTTCAACTTTTACAGCTTTCTCAGAGTTAGATCAAGGAGAGCTGGTAACTCTGAGAATTGCATTGTCGGCACCTGTCTATTGGAAGTCCTATGCCCGCCTGCTTTGGATCTACATGTAGTCAGTTCGTAGAGGAACGAAGCGGGACATGTAGACGTTGTTTGATCAGGCGTTAGCTCCCTAGTGCCACTGTCATGTTTACATATGATGGTATTTGTGCTATCCCTGAATGTTAACCTGGCAAACACAATGTAATATTCACATTAAAATATAGTCATATTCTTTATGTTAACCTGACCATTCGTATCCAATACGTGATGGCACCCTAGTTTTCATAAATAACCACGGGTTCCTTGCACATCCCGTGCTTCGTAGTCAGTATGTAGAAGAATTCTTTCATCAGCAGACCTACTTTAGAATGATCTTTGTAAATGGCATACACATTTGTCTGGCTGAAAGAGTGCCCTTTGGAGGTGGCATACTGGGCTATACCGGAACTGTCCGCTTATCTAATGAGGACGGCAGATAGATGAGTAGTCTTTGTTGCGGATTTTCAATTGTAAGTTTTTTCAATATAATCCTTGTGGCAGTCTTAACAGTGGACCTTGTATGCAATGTTTAACGCTTCTTCCTGGTTAGTGGACGTATACTTCTTGAATAAAATACCGCCTAATGTTCTGCAGTCTTGTAGTAAATTTTAAACTCAGTGTCGCTGAGGCACTTCTTGATACGCTGAGGTAACTGGAGCATGAATGGTAAAATTACGGTTGGGATACTTGGACAAGGCATTGTTATGTTGATACAGGAGGCAAAAGCTATTTGTCAAGTATTTTTCTTTAGTCTATTCATTAGAAACTTTTGGTATGGATGTTGAATCTTAGCATCTAGGTCAGAAATTATGGGATCGTAATCGCATATTTTTCACAACGTTCCTATACAAAATAGGGAGAACACCAGATGCCGGTATAGGTATCAGGAGGAGGTTGTTGGCTTCCGATAAATTGAAACCACATATTCAAGCGAAGGTGTCTTTTTTCACCAGCAGGTCGAGAAAGATCATAGAATGGTTCATTTCAGCCTTTGGAATCTCGTCCATTCATGCAATTCACAAAGATTTTCAACATTTTCAATTCGTCCTCATTTCATTGGAATAATGGGAAAATGTCATCAACGAATCGGACATAGAACAGTTGTCTGAATTGCGGGGGAGGGGTGGGGAGGGCATTCACTCTGGCTTTTACCTCCAGGCGATCTATGTAAAAATCCACTAAAATAACACTTACTGGAGGGGCATCAGATCACTGTACCTCTGGCTGTAAACAGAATTTGCGAATTTGAAAGTGGTGTCATTCATTACTAGATCGAAGATCGCCATTAATTTTTCAACACGTTTTGGGATGTCCGCCACTCCTCCTCCGTGCGACTATCCGAAGAAGTGACGAGAGATTTCATTTTGTCTGATTTAGCCAAAAGAACTGAAATCTTGTCTTTCGAATCCAAAAACATATGCTAGAATATGCACCCACTGTGATATCTTAATTATCATTCTAGCGCCGAGAGTCTCGTTAAATCCAAAGATCATCGCTGTCGCTTTCCCAGAATCGTTCTTTTCATCAGCTCTTCAGATCAGTTTGTCTGAATGGCAATGATTTGGTGCTTTTATTATATCAGTGTTGTGCCTGAATATCTGTGTTCTCATCTCTGTAGCAGACGCTGGCTGGTAGACGACGTCGTTTGTTTATTCCAGCGGTTTCACGAAAGTTAGCATTTGTTTTGTGGTTGACAATTCTGCCCAAAAGGGTACTGATTGTGAATACATTTTGACGAAAGGGATTAATGACTACGGTTCATTATTAATCCTACAGAAATAATTAATAACTCTTTTCACCATTCTGTCTACCTCCCTGAGCAGAAGATGACTGCACGTGTGCCAAACGAACGAATGCAATGAATATACAATAGATGAAGTGAGTAAATAGAAGGAAACTAGCTTTTTTGAATACATTTGCTTCGTTATTTTTCTGTTATTTTCTAAGCCAGATAAATTTTCCTTTTAAATGTACAAACTGCACTTTTGTAGAGTTCCTCTGAAGCGTATAGAATCGATTCGAGAAAAGAAGATGCGACAAGGTTTGTGGACGAAGTACTTAAGCAGTAAACCTCGGTGGTCCAGCAGGTGGAAGAGTAGCAGAGAATCGAACGTGAACTTGATCAAGCGCAACTTCGACGACGTCTGTCCTGTGTCCTGTTTCGAGTC